CACAACATCCTCTGTGCTGAAATGCCAGACCGAGAGGCCTATGGGACATGTAAACAAACAGTCACTTGGCTGGTGCCCTGGTACCTCGGATAAACACAAAGGAAGAATAGAACTTGTGAAAGGGAACGCATGAAGAGAAAAAAAGCAGCAGGAGGTTGGAAGACAAGCAGTAAGCACATAGAGAGGAATAGAAATTATGTAATGGGGAAAATGTGAACTATAACAGAAAAAAACGGATTGGGGTAAAAGAGACAAGCCAAGAGATCTTGAAGAGTAGAGAAGGAAGAAAGTGTTGAAAAGGATTGGCATAAATCTTCTGCACCTCCTTCTTTCCCCTCTCAGCCCCTCACCCCATGACAATGGAAGTGACAGTGCCTAAAGAAAAATGTGGGTGCCATGTTTGAATTTTCACATGTATTGCTTATCTCGAGTTCCCTCCTGCTGTGGATGTCTTTGCATCAGAATCAATTTTCTCCTAAGCTAATATTCTAGGGTTTTAGTGCAAGAATTTAAGGCATTTTAGAGCTGATGTGAGAGAACTGCAGCATACATATGGATGTGAGAGAGAATCTGAAAGTTAAGTAGAACTGCAGCATAAGCGGGCGCCTGATTTCTTCTTTAACTGCTTTTGTGTCCCACACTAATTCATTCAGAAGAATTCTGAATGAAATTCTAAGAAAAAAGGATTTTACTGTTTAGCCCTGTGTAGCTGTATACGGTCTATTCAAATTAAAATTGAAAGGATGCTGATATTTATTAAACCTAGAAAAAACATTAGGTCTAAAAAAGTCAAATTACAACAGATATCTAATGCAATGATAAGCTTTTTGGATGGATGCCAAAAGAAAGATCCAACTTTAAAGTCCAATGTGGTTAAAATACTTATGATAAGAAGAAACAGATGATCAATTAATTTACCTTTCAACTGAAGATTAATCATCTTACACTTAATAGCTTTTAACCGATTTATGGACACACGTCCAAATATCTTAGGAGTTATACAATCATGAAATAACTTAGTTTAAATAGAATTGTAATATATAATCAAGTAAAATCTACAGCATACGTCATTGTTGATTAATTAAAATGAATGTTTGACTTATAAAGCATTTGATTAGGAATAACAATACTGTCAAATTAGCATTGTTTGTTTCAGCATAGGTAAGTTAAACATCTTTAAAGTGTTTAAATGTAAGATTCAAATTAAGCAATAGGATAGAGTGGTGCAAAAGACTATCCTTCATATCTTAAAATCTGTTTTAAGATTACATTGTGATGCTATATGTATATATTTATGTGTTTCGGCTTCAGGCATATATTAGTTGCCAGCCTGAATTAAACTGTCCTGAATGAGGAGGCCCTTGAAACCCTTTAATTTAATCACAGGCCCATTGGGTCCATGATTGTCATATGAAATGGGCTATATAAATATACTTTGCTGTCTTTGTTTTTTTTTTACACCTCCATAGTAAATTGGTTCAATATTCCTCCACAATGTACTGCAAACATAAAAATAACCACACAAGGGGAATAACAAACACAAAAATTTGACAAACGCACAAAACTCAAACAAAGAAAACACCCATTAAAAAAAGAGATGCTGAAATAACAGTAAAAAGAAATAGGCTAAGTCGAATGCACTACATTATAAAAATGCACTGAAACCAAAAAAAGGCGCAGCAACCATGTACTACCAAACAAATCTTCATAACGTACGCAAAGGAAATGTACTGCAATGGCAAGTTAAGGAAAGGTGCAAACTAGCTTTGCAAAACAGAAGTTCTCTAGACAATGAGAAGGATTTGACCATCAATCCGTAATAATGTCGCCACAACAAACACATTACAACATATTAATATCTGAAGACAAAACCCTCAGTAGAGATATAAATGTGATGTCTGCCCACTGTGCATTCAGATAGAAGAAAGAAAAAAGAAGTTGTTCTTTGAGAAACCTTTAAATGCTGAATATCTCTAAGCATCCTATCATTTGCTTTTTTACTATCTAAACTTAATTAAGATTTAACTAAAATTAAGCAATCATGAAATGTAAAGAACAATATAATTGTGATGTGCTGCAAAAATTAGACATGTTTTTCGTTTCTAATAAACATGAAAAAGTTCGATGTAATATAATGCCACCGAAAAAATGAAATTCATCAAAATGCCTTCAGAGCTCATCTTATGAGTGACCACTATATTTGGTTTTGAGTATAATAGTTTGTTCAGACCGGACGCAATGTCCCTGGTGAGTGCGATTGAGTCACAAAAAGTGGTGAATCCCATGTGTGCGTTCACTGCTCTGCCGTCACCTCATGCTACTAGATAGGGATACTGAGGTGCTGTCCAACAGCTGCACCGCATGGTGAGAGTTCAGAGATATATAATGTTAACAAAGCTAGAAGTAAGGAATGCTCTCAGGAAATTTTTAGGTTGCTTTAAAAAAAGCAGTTTTAATTTAGTCCTTGAAGCACTGCTTGTCCTCTCCTACTTCCAGCGCAGACAACGGTCTGTCGCTGCCCACTGCCCAGCATGGGGGCTGTCTGCAGGGGTAGATTTACAAGAAAATACCGCCAAATTCTACCTTCATCCAGACGCCTTTCTGGATGAACCAAAGTGGAATCCTTTTTTTTTTCTGTGCTTTTGGGGCTTTTCCAAAAAATTATGCTCTCCCAAAGGCAATTCAAAAGTTGCTTATAGAATACATTTTAGCAGCAGTCCATGATGTTAAGTTTCACCCATGGTTTTATTTTGAAACGTTGCCAGGCAGTGAGACCTTGACAGGAAATCACACGGGGTAGCCAGAAATAACTGTAGGTCCAAAGCAAAGGGTCTGGGAGGCTGCTGATTTGCTATAAATTAAACAATCATTCCAGCCACTAAATAAGGTAAACTTGCCCACTGTTTTATTAAATACCAGCAAAGGAATAATATATGATGCTATGGAATAACTTGATTTCAGGAAATAAGTGCAGCACAAAACTCTGATAGGATGGCAAAATCATCAGCCAAAATTAAATATTATTCTTTACTGAACACCAAATTAGTGAAAATAATAGTTTTACCTGCATAAATAAATCAGCACTGAAAAAAGTAAGCTAGATATTTCTAGTTCAACTTCTTGTGCAGCTAAATGGGGGGAAAATTGACCTCTGGATGTCCTAAAAAAAGAATCTTTATTATCTCTAATATCTCTGAAACCATATTAAATGTACAAACCAAATCTGCATCTGAAATGCAGAGCTTTAAACTCCCTGGGGGGCTCATGGAAATCACAGTGGACACTGCGTTCGCTTTGAACGCAAAAGCCTGCTGTTATGTGGTTATTAGCTTAGTAAACGGTAGTAAACAAACATCAGGAAGGACAAAGGAAAGAGCAATTTAATGAAAAGAAAGTTTTTAAGAATTTTAAATTAGGGTTATGTTGTAAAAATAGCCAAAGATTTCATCATATAGCAAACAATTTCAATTGGAATATGGATTGTGTCAAATTCAGGGCAATCTCAAAAGCAAAACACCAAAAAGACAGCTTGAACCAAGGATGGTGATTTACCTTCCACTAAGACAATCTCCATAAACATAAAGCCAGAGCTACAGTGGAATAGTTAAGGTCAAACCATATTTATGTGTTGGCCCAGTCATAGTCAAGTCCCCAATCCAGTTGAAAATGTATGGCAAGTTTTGAAGACTTGTGTTAAGATATACTCCCCATCCATACAAACAGACAATAAAGCATATCTATACATTTACTTCTTTAACTATTTTGCAACATCTTTTTGTAGTTCTAATGTATTAGAATGAAATAAAATATATTTGAATTACTAATGTAACAAAATGGGGTATTGAAAGAGTAATACAACTTCAATCCTGCTGAGATTTACCTTGAGTGCAAGAGATTTAGTTAATAGATTGTAGAAAGGGAACAAATGAAAAAAAAAAATGCTATTAAAATGCTAGCTCTAACCTAAAAATATTACAAAGAATCTAATCCTTAACTCTCATGAAGGATACAGTCACATTTTTGGATTACTGCTAAAGTAGAACATTGCTTTCTGTATGACAACCAAGTATAAACCCCCTCTTGAAGAATTAGATCCCCTTTCTTCTGCCCTTTATTTAGTCTAATGACGCAACGACTAAAATGTTAATTACAGCTTTAAAGAGAGATGATTGTGGAGATGAAGTAGCAATTAGCATATATCATAGTCACTCTCATTACCACCATTTGCCACAGCAAAAATATGGAAAATTATTTACCAAATAGTGAGACCCTCATGATGTGCTTATTCAGAACACTATAAACGTTTCAGTGAGGGTGTTAGAGACATTAGAGACATTTTTTCTTCTTTATATTGGCTACTGTATTGCCAGTTCAAGAGCAGTACAGTAAGCATATAGTGTGTTAAATGAAAAATAAGCATTTATTTAGGGAGAACAACTAAATAAAAGTATGAGCTTATTTCATGTTTTCTAAAAGCATTGACATAGAGACACTTAATTAAAAATAAGGACCAACCATAGCACATTTAGAAGTTCTTTCCACCTGAATCCTCCATAATTTTCTGTAATAGTTTTTTTCCTGTCCGTTACTCTGCTGATGACATTTAAAACCATTCTAAATTGCCAGTTCCATACTTGAGCAGAGTCTGAGAAATTCTCCTCATATTCCCAGGATGGGGTTATTATCCTCCTCTAAATCCATTGCTGAGCAAAATGCCTCCTCCATTTTCCCCTAATCTGACTAATGTACTAAAACATAAAAGGTCATTTCACATCCATACCACAGATCACATATGTGACTATGAATTAATAGAGCTAATGATATCTTCATATACATTTTTTATCATATACAGTATTTTAAACCTCTATCACGATCTTCCTACCTGGCAGAGAGGCATTTAAATGTGACAATATAGAAAAAAAAACTTTCAAAAAATGTATAAAAGTGAAATAAATTTAGTTCTTGTGCAAGTTACATCAGGATCCAGATTTCTTGCTTACCTTGCTGCACAAAAGACCCATAAACAAACCACATGGAATTGTACAGTGTGGTCGAAGACACAGGTCCCATGGGCAGCCGTGGTGGGTTGAGCCAGTTGAGCAAGTACACCAGGATGCCAATAAGGAGCACAGTGCCTGCAATGCACGCCCACAGTGACAGGTCGAAGGGTGCCAGGCAGGCAAACATGTCCACTGTGCGCTCGGCCTTGCGCAGCAGAACGCCCACAGAATAATCCATGTAGCGTGTGGTAAAGTCTACAACACTCTCCCGCTCAGGCGTGATAGTCAGAGCAGAGAGTCCGACATCAGCTCGCTGCAAGAGGCAGAAAGGAGAGAGGAAAGTGAGACAAATTTGTTCAGATCTGAAAGTCATTTCTTTTTAGGGAGAGTCTTTAAATACACAAGATATGCTTATTACAATGCTGCTATTGTAATAAAGTAAGGTTACCAAAATGGGAATTTTTAAAAGTGAAACATAGACTTCTTGTTTTTAGTATAAATTTGTACCAGACACTGCATGAAAAGTGGGATTTTCGTCAATATACGGCACTGTAGATTGTCGTGGAACTTCAGGTTAGCGGCAGTTTACGGCAATTTGCAGGCTTGGACGAAAACTCCCGTAAATTGTCAGAAATTGACGTGGAATTTCTTAGGCAGTGTTCCCCCCATGCCTCCCCCCCATGGAATTCTAGGGGAGGCTTTAACATGTAAATGAACATGCTGTGAGCTATACAAATGCAAACCAGGGTTACCTGATACAAAGAGATCAGGTATAGCCTCTTACATTTTAGCTTGAATTGATTTATTTAATTAAAGTATAGAGACCAAAACAGATCTTTAGCTGACAGAGCAATACATTTAGAGCAGTAATTATTTTTTTTTTAAATTTGCATTTAAGATAAAAAATAAAATGTTGTCTGTCAATATGCTCAATTCACAATTACTTAAGTGGAAAAGTTTCAAGAAATGATTCTGAGATGATTCACTTTATAACATGGCGCATTATCCTGTTGGAAGTAGCCATCAGAAGATTGGTACACTGTGGTCATAAGGTCATAGGTCAGCATGCTAAATTGGTTTTAAGTGGCCCAAAGTGTGGCAATAAATATCCCCCAAATAGATGGTAGAAATAGATCAGGCTTAGTATAGCCTAATTATAGACTCTTACATTTTAGCTTGAATTGATTTATTTAATTAAAGTACGCTAGATTACTGTGTATGCAAATGTTATGTAAAAAAAAAATACACAAAATAATTTACTTCAAAAATTAGTTTTAATCAGAATCAGTTGGCTGTAATGGTTAATTTTATTTTTTAGATTTCCACTTTTTTTTTTTTTTTGTTATTGAATATATAAGAAAATAATAACAATCTCAAATAACAAGTCAATAACAAATATTTCAATACAAGAAGAAATATCACAACTCCTGCTTTTGAAAAATAAAATTAAATGCACAGGCTGGAAAAAAGTATAAAATAAAATAAAATAAATAAAATAATAATAGTAGTTAAAGTAAATTAATCAGTGGGGACTACCAACTGAAATTCTTCAATTAACTCAAACAATTTAATTGCATTTAAATTCTGCATCTTTCTCAGACATCTTTTGAAAAGGGAAAGTTCATTTTTGAGAGCAGAGATTGAGAGGGAGCATTTTGCATAGCGACATTTATGGATATAATACTTTGTTACAATTATTAGAATATTAATTAAAAATTCCAAATTTTTTTTCTTTAATGGATAAACCGAATTAAATGTTTTGCCAGGAAATAAAATCTAAATTTATTGTTTTAGAAGACAGAAAGGTTCGAAGTTGATCCCATAAGTTTAATACTTCTTTACATTCATAAAAAAGATGTTTAGTTGTTTCCAATTGAGTTGTACAAAAGCCACAATTCTCAACATTAAACTTAAATCTCTCTCTTGAAAACTCATTTGAAGGATATATGTTATTTATTATTTTAAATTGTAATTCTTTATATTTAGGAGGAATTGGGAATTTCAAATAATTTGTCCTAATTTTGACTATCATAGATTTCTTAAAATTTTGTAAGAGAGCTGTGCTTTTTGTTCTTCCTGGGTACATATTATTTATAGAATATTGATTCAAAAACTTGTTGTTGCATTTATTATCTCTAATGTCCACCTGCTCAAATTCAATCTTATGGAGACAAACAATTGCAATTGCAAACAATTTATAGGTGCATTACCGCCACCTTCCAGAATGGAGCGACGCGAGCTCTTCTCGCGAGTCCTTCCGTATAACAATGACGTCGTATGTGATTGGAGGAGCCTGATGAGCCTTCGGCCCCATCGTCCAATCACGTGTGAGCTTTTGTGCACTACGACTTCTCGCGAGACCACTATATTAGCAGACATGTTTGTGTTACTATACTCAGAAGAGCTTCATCTCCAGTTACCGTGTTTGTATTTTGTTGTTACGTGAACAATGGCTGCACGACGTCTCGCGTTCAACTCGCCTCCAACTGCTCTTAGTCCACAACTTTCGGCCAGCCCGCAGACTGACGAGAAGAAACTGCTGATTGCTATCAGCGGACTGTCTCGTCAGCTTGCCCAACATACTGCCGACATGAATGAGCGCCTCACTCAGCTGGAGAATTCGATGCACTCCAGGTTGTAGTCCATAGAGGACAAGATGGCGGCTCTGCAGTCGAGCAACTTTGCGGGATATACGAACTCGAGGAAGAGAAGAGCTTTAGCTATGCTAAAAGCAGCCTAGCTTAGCTAGGCAAGCTAAAGACAACCTAGCCTAGCTAGGTAAGCTAAAAGCAGCCTAGCCTAAAGCTTTATTAAAGTGTATTTTTTGTGATTCACAGGAAGCATTATGCCGTCTTAACAACTCGGAGACTAATTGCAGGCGCTATGAACCGGAGCAGGGGTAAGGTTTAAAGAATATGCTTTCATTCAGCGGTAAAAGGACATGGATACGGATGGATACCGACCATAGCTGTACTTTTTTTTTTTTTTCACAGACTACAGTCGCCTCACAATGAGGCGATGACCTCCTATTTGCTCGGATTTGCACGATGTTGATAAAGACGACATTGTGTGTAAGTGACTTGTTTTAATGTTTTCTCCTTCCTTGTTACTGTGACTTGCGTTTGATTTTTTTTTTTTTATTCATACCACTCTCATTTAATTGTTTTCCAGCTGCCTGTAAGACGTATTATGAGACGGTATGCAGGAGCTTCAGATACACGCTGCTAGCCAGCACGCTGCGTGCTGAGGCTATCTGCTCGGAGTCGGGCCAGAAGAAAGAGGGTAAGACTTTATTTGGTGACTATTTTTCAGGTGCATTGATAGATGTGTTGTGTCCATATGCAGTGCGCTGATTCATTGTTTTTTTTCAGCTGCTGAAGGCGAGGCAGAGTGTGCTATCAGATGAGGAAGTGGAACTCTGTAAGTCCGCCACCGTCGACCTCATGTCCGACGAAGAAGATGGCGTCGTCGGCGGTGTCTCTGGATGGATTGTACGGTCGCCGCCATTTCGTAGGCCGGATCTCACTGAACTCTGTGTTAAGCTGCAGTCCCGGTTAGAAGCGATGCCGAAGTACAGGGCCACGCACAGTATGCGTCTGCACATCGGACCTGCCTCGGAGGGAATGCTGCCTGTTACCTCCAACCCCGAGGAAGCAAACGGACCGTTCACGGAGTTGTAATTTTTAGATACGCATGTGTTTGGATATGCGTTGTATATAGTTGTGTGTGTGTTTTAATAAAGCTCTTTCTTTGCATAAACAGCTTCCTGGCAAATCTTCATTTCCTGTATAAATTAATTCATGTCCTTGATGGTAGCATAATAATTGTGTAGTAGTGTAGGATAACATAAATACACAGCATATGAATGAATAAATATATGAATGAATAAATATATGAATGAATAAATATATGAATATATATATATATATGAATATATATATATATGAATGAATAAATATATATATATATATGAATAAATATATGTAAATATATATATGAATAAATATATATATGTAAATATATATATGCCAACCAATCACGAGCGACTTTACTTGTTTAAAAAGAAGTGGTTCCGTCCAATACTCAGTAAGAAAATTAAAGCCTGGCGTGGCCACGTGTGGTTTTGCTGCCAATCACGAGCGATTTCATTTGTTTGAGAATAGTGGTTTCAGCCAATACTGAGAAGGTTATTCAAGCCAGACCTGGCCAGCCGCGCGGGTTTGCTGCATTCATATGCTAATTAGGGCCATTAGTACAGCTGATCGCTCTCCACATACGTCAGAGTCCGTTTCCGACAATTTGTGGCACGACAAACGCGGACAAGCACGGGTTGCAAATTGTCGGAAACTGACGAAAATCAGGCAGATCTGCGGGAGTTTACGGGGGTTTACGGGGACGAAAATCTCACTTTTCATGCAGTGAGAACCATTGAATCTATAATGTGTTTGCCGTTATCCTGAATAACACTTTTTATGATGTTTTGTGTCAGCACAGTTGGTGTGCCAGATCACATGCATATCAGGATTTATGCTGAGATGGTTGTTTTGTTAGGGAGGAGATTGCAAAAGCCTTATCTTTCTTATCAGAACACTGTTTTGAGCATGCTTTTACCTTTTGCAACAAACGTGTTTGTCACAGCAAGCCAGCAAAGATTTTTCATTCTGTTTAGTTATCGAACCTTTTCCATAAAAAAGGAACAAACCATAGATACTGAAAGGATATTGTATAATACTCTTAATATCTGTTGATAATAATAATGGATTTTAATCTCTTAAGATAACATTAGCCATCACTTGCTAAACATACAGCTGCTAGTCATAGAAACTGTATGTTTAGCATGAAGTCAATATAAAGAGGCCATATGCATCATTTATGCTGCTGAGCTTAGAGTTACTACCCAGACTCAGTCATTCTTCCATAAGTATGTTTATATATCATGTGGGGTTACTCTAATTTTTTCTTTTTTCATTATGGCTGCAGTGGATAGTAGTCAGTTCAACAAATATTTTGCAGCAAGGTGACCTAATAATAAAATGTGAAATTTGTCAAAAATCAATACAAAATAATAAAAAAATGCTGGTAAAAACTATAACAAAATTAGCTAACACATAATTATTAATGAATTTGCTTGAGTGCCTACCAAAGCAATTGCTCTATTTTTTATATTTAATTTTCACAGTTTTGATTGAGAACCTTTTTTGAGGAGTACTAGACATATAAGATGACTAGAAGCAGAAGAAATAAAGAGAGGTGACCCTATAAAGACTTTTGGAAGTGCATTTTATGTTGGTTACTCGTCCTACATTAGCCCCCCCCCCCAAAAAAAGAAAAAATCTTTGTAGACTATCCTTATAAGACTCCAACATTTGGTATGTTTATTAATTTATGCCAAAGCAACAGTTTTTTTTTTCCTTTTGAGTACCTTAATTTCTTTCTATTTCTTGTAATTAAGATGAATGATGTTATAAAATTGATGAAATGTTTGTTAATTAAAATTTTTTATCATCAGTGCTTCAAAAAAGCTGAAGACATCTGCTTAAGGATTCAAGATGCAGATGTGAGCATCTGTTTTTTCTCCCCAAAAAAGAAATAGAAAAGATGATTTTCAACAAGACAACAACGACATTAAGTTGCTTGAAGCAACGGATCCTTAGATCAGAAGGTGTATTGTAAAAATAATGAAACACTTTTGAGACCAATTGCAGCCTAGCATTCTGTCCCCAAGTCTTTTCTTTTCAAACACACAAACAAAAACAAAAAAATCTACCTCATGCACAATAACCTGCTAATTGAATGGTTGAGTAATGGAGAAAAGACAAAACGCTTAACTTTGTAGAATTAGTCCTACAGTATAAGTTGTAGAAACAGCGCTTCAGAAGAAATCATGTACAATGCCTGTTGGTAAACCAAAAATAAACAGCATCCAGGGAAACTGACTATGTGTGAGTAGGCATGAAATGCAGTGCAAATGCATGTGGTCAGTACACAATTAACAGAAAGCACTGTGGTTCATAATCATCAAATAGTTTTTTGGAGAGATAAACACTGGCACTGGCTGATTGGGAAAACATATGTGTACATAAATACACATGGGCTTAAAGGCTTTCTCCAAATGTTACAAGGTATAGTTGTGGAAGACACTTTTTTTAGACTTTGACAAATTGCCCAAATCTGACACACAGTCAAAGAAACATATCAACATTTCAGAAGGACAAATATATAATGAGCTATTTATAACGATTAAACAGCATAGAACCCTATTAAAAGTCTACTAGAGTAAATAAGAGTAAAAAGAGCCCCTTTTCTGTGCATAAATATACTTCTTTTTGAAAATGTGTAAATCCTCTTGGTATAGGTAATTTCATTAACAGTCTGTTGGCAGTAGTGTATTTCCAAAATATGTCACAAAGTTATTGAAAGAATTTAGAGGAATGGCTTAAATAAACTTCCCATGTTGCCCCAATCAGTTCTGATGCAGTCAGAACTGCACAGCTAAGACATTTTTCATATTAACCAAGACTGGACTCTGTGACAATCCACACGTTTAAATAATGCTTTTAGGGCTGTGCTTTTGATTTTGTTTTCCAGCTATATTTACTTTGTCCTTCAGAGTATTTTTTTTTTTGTAATAAATACAATGTAATGTGAATAAGTCTTGCACTTTTCAATCCCTTTTGTTATGTGTTTTTTATTAGATTAATTCATGTTAGCTTTATTTTAAGAATATTAAATATTTTTTTCAGGTTAATATGTCAGATCAATATATCACTTAGCAAATAGTGATGCTCTGTGTGGGCAGCTCTTCTCATAGCCACAACTATGTAACTTGAGAGGGTCGGATCCGTTAGTGAATGAGTCGTGACCCACAGCACTATTTTATAGCAGTCTCCGTTCCCCTTAACACAGAGCTAACTAAATTAAAAACTGTTGTTAGCCAATATAAACTGTAGAAGCCTAATATAAAAGTATCTTGGAATAATATGCCAAGATACTTTTAATATATGCTTTCTGAACAGTAATCTTAAATTAGACAGTAGTCCATTTCATAATTATTTAACTTTGTATATGCTCTCCACTATTGCTGTGTATTGATGTTGATTAATACATTTTTTTCAATATTCTCTGTGTTTCATCTGTTTTTATGACTGTTTTATAGATATTTCCTGATCTATATATACAGTACTCAATCACTTACTGCACAAATATGTTATTTTTGGTGTTTAGACTTATTTTTTATTAGAATATTTGATTCAAAGCAAATAGATAGTGAATACTTTTTTTATTATTCTGCTTTTGTTCAACTGCAATAAAACACTCCCCAGCTATACATATATCCAGTCAGTGTATCAATTAAAGTGGTTGGGGATGGTGGGATTTTTCACAAGTACTGCGGGAGTGAGGAGTGACTAAGACAAACGGTGGGAGCTGCAGTAAGGTTAAGAAATTCAGCAAAAAGGATCAGAGCAGGATTACAAATATGGGCTATGGTTAAGAAATACAGAAAACCAGTAAATCATGACTTTTTCGATCTCTGTCTTCACCACAACAGACTGAGGTGTGGTTGTGGGACATGTTTGTAGCTTCAGGGTCTTCATATGCTGCCATTGTGACATATTATTTTGTACATGAAGTTTTGTTCACCTGTTTGCCTCTTTAAAGTCATCGTATTTTTAATCCTCATCTACTTTGACTAAAGGAAGTCTGTGCATTACAATGATGGCTGAAGCTGTTGTGTTCTGTGCTTCTTTAAAGAAAACATACGGTAAATCCACCCATGCAACCCTGCCTGTTATTGAACTCAGAAAATTCTGTTGTTCTTTAACTGCACCAATCAAGAAGGAACTAACAACATTTAGAAAAATGGGGGAAAAAAAGAAGATAAAATACTTGAATTCTAATTGGCTCTGCTTAAGTGTCTGCCAATAATTAGAGATAGAAAAAAAAAAAAATCAAAGATCCCTGAGGGTAATGAAGTCAATGTTAAAAAAAACATTGAGTTACATCAGACATATCTTTTAGGTTTAGGTCTATTATGTTCCACACAGGGACATCTTACAGAAGCAGTTTGTGAATGACAGTCAGGCATAATTCTTAATAATAGATAATTTTCTTATTTAAATATTTGCTCTTGAAGCAACATGATTTCCATGGGACCTGTAATTATGGATAAACCTAAGGAGGACTGGTCCCATGAAGCAAGTCAAGCCAGGAACATGGGTCTACAGGCAAGAACTCTCTAGAAGGAAGATCCATATTTTAATGCCTGACAGAAGTACTCACAGTCCTTTAACTTTTTATTTTTTAAGAAGTTATTATAACAGGACAACAAAGCTAAACATTTTAATTCTAGATAGAACACCATTAAACAGAGAAACACCTCTCTGGGAAGTTAAAACCTAACGGTACATGGTTTTCAAAATAGATTGATACATGGTTTTTAAAATTCCCTACTAAAAATCTGAAAAGTGGGAAGCATTTGTATTAAGATCTTATTACTTCAAGACAAGAGTTGAAGAAATGTTGTTCATAAATTATATAATAAAAATAAAGCATTCATTTTGACATAATGTTACCTTAATAACAAATCCAGCTGTTCCATAAGGACCTTAGGTATTAAATCATAAATAAATCTTTTCACATCTCAAAGAGGACTGTTTAGTTCTTTATTATATCCGCCAAGGATGTTATATTTTTTGGAGGGTTTATCTGTCTGTTATGAACTTAGAAATGGATTTGATGGAATGTTTTTATTTAGCACAGGTGTCCCTCATGCCAAGGAACAATTCATTTAAATGTGTTAATTGGGTAATGTGCCAGTTTAAGCTAAATGTGTAACCCTCAATTGGCGAAAAAATTAGCTGCTTGTCAGAGGTTTGCATTTTCCATATACATTTCTAGTTCCTAAATGGAAAGAGTATGGCACAATATGAAACTTACCAAGGCATGACCTACCAACAGGCTAGATCTGGAGATAATTTATCAGAAGAGAAGCTTGGAGGGCCAGTGTAACTATGCAAACACCCTGAACTCACAAGGCAAATCTTTCATGCACTTTACAAAACTGGCCTTTGTGAAAGGTTGGCAAGAGAAAATGCTTGAAAGAAAGCCAACAGAAGTCCTTTTTAAGAGTTTAAAGATTAAAAAAATCTATGAAGCAGACAAAGCATACATGTGGAAGATTTTATGGGCAGAAGAGAATACATTTTCATTTTATGACCAAAGTGGAGAACAATGCATGGAAAGAAAAACTAACAGTATCCCTGTCCTTAAAACAGGACCCCTAAAGTTAATAATGATGGTAGCAACACTATTCTGTGAGGACTTTTTGTTCTAGCCGTTTTTTCTAGAGATGCTATTCTATAGGTAAAAATGCGAAGAAATATCAATCATTTTTGTCCTTGAGTGGCTCAAAGTCCAGATTTAAGGATAACCAGGACGATATCTCAATACAAAAGTTGTACCTCCTCCATCCAAAACAACTGGTGAGTTATTTTAGAATGAAGAATGTGTACTTATTTCAGTCTGTTGAATACACTCACCTGGTAAGGATGTAATGTATATCAAAAGAGACTTGCAACTATTATCACAATGAAGTCTGGCTCCTAAAAAGTATGCATTTGACACTTTACTTAATCTCATAAACTCACAAAAACAAATACATTTAAGCTTGTGGTTGTTACATGATAAAAAGGAAAAATGTTCAAGGGATATGAGTTTCTCTGCTGTTTATTTGAAAGTCATATAATTCTCAAACTACACTGTGTCTTGCAAACTGTGTATGTATTTGAATGAATATTAACCCTTGTGTTCATCTTTGTTAAGATTTCCTCCTTACCTTAGAAACCAGTTCCCCCATGAGACCATTCCACTGGCCGTCAGGTTGTAAACTGCCATATTTGTGGTCTGGAGCCACATAGATCTCATATTTAAAGCCCAGATAGTTGGAGAGAGCATCCAGGACATCAATTGAAAAGCCTTGATATTTCTTAGGTTTTCCAAGGACATTCTCTGAGACCATCACAAATGGCTCCTCCTGAAAGACAACAATTAACCAGTTAATAAGTAATTCAGAAACCCAATGAAACACACTAATCATTTTCTGGTAAACCCTCTATCACTGAAATCTAGACATGAAACACAACTCATGAAAACAATTAAACACCTCATAAGAAGATGTGAACACATACAGGTGCTGGTCATAAAATTAGAATATCATGAAAAAGTAGATTGATTTCAGTAATTCCATTTAAAAAGTGAAACTTGTATATTATATTCATACATTACATACAAACTCATATATTTCAGATGTTTATTTTGTTTAATTTTGATGATTACAAATGACAACAAATGAAAATCTCAAATTCATCATATCAGAAAATTAGAATATTGTGAAAAGGTTCAAAATTGATGGCCCCTGGTACCACACTCTAATCAGCTAATTAACTCAAACCACCTGCAAAAGCCTTTAAATGGTCTTTCAGTCTAGTTCTATAGGCTAGACAATCATGGGGAAGACTGCTGACTTGACAGTTGTCCAAAAGACGACCATCGACACCTTGCACAAGGAGGGCAAGACACAAAAGGTCATCGCTAAAGAGGCTGGCTGTTCACAGAGCTCAGTGTCCAAGCACATTAATAGAGAGGCGAAGGGAAGGAAAAGATGTGGTCGAAAAAAGTGTACAAGCAAGAGAGATAACCGCACCCTGGAGAGGATTGTGAAACAAAACCCCTTCAAAAATGTGGGGGAGATTCACAAAGAGTGGACTTCAGCTGGAGTGAGCGCTTCAAGAACCACCACACACAGACGTATGAAAGACATGGGTTTCTGCTGTCGCATTCCTTGTGTCAAGCCACTCTTGAACTACAGACAGCGTCAGAAGCGTCTTGCCTGGGCTAAAGAGAAACAGGACTGGACTGCTGGTGAGTGGTCCAAAGTCATGTTCTCTGATGAAAGTAAATTTTGCATTTCCTTTGGAAATCAAGGTCCCAGAGTCTGGAGGAAAAGAAGAGAGGCACTTCATCCACGTTGCTTGAAGTCCAGTGTAAAGTTTCCACAGTCAGTGATGGTTTGGGGTGCCATGTCATCTGCTGGTGTTGGTCCATTGTGTTTTCTGAGGTCCAGGGTCAACGCAGCCACATACCAGGAAGTTTTAGAGCACTTCATGCTTCCTGCAGCTGACCAACTTTTTGGAGATGCAGATTTCATTTTCCAACAGGACTTGGCACCTGCACACAGTGCCAAAGCTACCAGTACCTGGTTGAAGGACCATGGTATCCCTGTTCTTAATTGGCCAGCAAACTCTCCTGACCTTAACCCCATAGAAAATCTATGGGGTATTGTGAAGAAGAAGATGCAATACACCAGACCCAACAATTCAGAAGAGCTAAAAGCCACTATTAGAGCAACCTGGGCTATCATAACACCTGAGCAGTGCCACAGACTGATCGACTCCATGCCACGCCGCATTGCTGCAGTAATACAGGCCAAAGGAGGCCCAACTAAATACTGAGTGCTGTACATGCTCATACTTTTCATGTTCATACTTTTCAGTTGGCCAACATTTCTATAAATCCTTTGTTTTTATTGGTCTTCAGTAATATTCTAATTTTCTGATATGATGAATTTGAGATTTTCATTTGTTGTCATTTGTAATCATCAAAATTAAACAAAATAAACATCTGAAATATATGAGTTTGTATGTAATGTATGAATATAATATACAAGTTTCACTTTTTAAATGGAATTACTGAAATCAATCTACTTTTTCATGATATTCTAATTTTATGACCAGCACCTGTATGTTTTACACCCAGTGTTTTTTTTTCTGAAGCTTTTCTCTGTTGGGTATTTTGTTTAAATTCTTGTGTATATAGCACTTTCAATGAAATTATAAACATAAATATAGGTAATGTAAATTAGCATTTTACTGCTTGAATCAAATGCACGAGAAAGGATAAAAGAGAAAATGTTTTTCTTATTATATATAATATTAATGTAGTGCTCTATGGATTTTTTTTTATTACCCTTGTATTTATTCAACACATTTCGATTGATGTGAGAATTGCTGAATGCCCATAAAGTGAATCTTGAGGTTTATAAGGGCCTGTGGGTTAATGACTGAATATTCTCTGCACACGTATACAAATACATCCAAATATCCTATGTACTGCTTTCCTTACAGGGACATGCATCGACTTCCATGTATTTCACATTGATTTGAATGGCCTAACCCAGACCTGTACCCTAACCATTCAATACATACCTAATCCTAAACCTCACCAAAACTCAATTCACACCTTAGTTCTAAACCTAACTCCCAATTTAAGAGGAGAACTTCTCCTCAATGGTATCCAGTGGTACTGTAAGTTCCTACAATGTAGAATAGTCCAGGGATATTGTCCCCACAAGGTAATAGATACTTGCCCATGCTCCCACATACGCAGACGCAGCTTCACTCCGTGGCATGGGCTAGCACAGAGGCCCGCCCTGGAGAGTTTTTTTTTTGTTGTTGTTTGATTTTTCTAATCGGGATGTAAAACTTTCTATCGTTCCTCTATCATTCCTATCTATCTACAGAAAGAGGGGGCGGGTCAGTAAGGCAGCGATGTTCAAAGTAGGTAGCCCTGCATGAATATGTGGACTTCTTTATAAAGGGCCAACAGAGCAAAGGAGAGTAAGCCTGAAGCAGAATTATTCATTTCTGTTTGAAAGCTAAGAACTGAAGTAACCGGTGGAGTAAACATTAATGCTTGGCGTGTTAGCTACTGTAGTAAGGGGAACTTCATGCTGGTAACTCAGCCAGATGGAAGAAACGGTAGTGATGACATCACACTTACAACATGTAATTATGCCTCCCTCTTTGCACTCCTCCCCCCCCCCGCAACAACACACACAAAAAATGCACGTATAATAAATAGACATAACTTAATAACACATATAGAAAAATGAGAACTAGCATCCTTAGAGGAAATCTAAAGATGTAACACCTGATAATGATCTTTAGCCTGTAGTAGTTATATACAGTAAAGTACAACTTTGCTCAAAACGCCTATGAAATGGGCTGGAGGTTTACTTTATTATTCAGGAGAAATGTTTGGTGTCTGCCAGCAGGGGGATGATTGCAGCTTTGGGGAAAAAATGCACTTGAATCTATTATTTTCTGGTGTAATTTTCCTGAATTATTTTCCCACTTGAGATAAACAATTTAAACTCTTCTAGAATAAATGCTTACCTGAGGCACAGTGTTCAACATTTGTTAAGAAAATGTGCTTTTGTAATATAATGGGTTAGTACTTCCTGCAACAACAGGCAGATATGTTTTCAATTCACCTTGTCATTTCACAATCATATCTATGCAAACTAGAAGTATTTTGACAATTTAAGAGCGGATGAGACACAGTCCGAACTTAAAAGTGTTCAAAATTAGGTCGTTGGCAAAGATGCCTTTCAACCCTTAAAAACCATGAGCCCACATTTAGAGATAAATCATGAAAAAGCAGCAGAAACATCCAACAAAGCTTTTCAACATCTATAAGAAGGGTTTTATTGTTACACTGATTCTACAAAAATGTAAGAAATATTTTTAAATGAACAATTTTTCATTTAACTCTTAAAAAAATTGATATTTAAAACAAACTTATTTCAAAAAGAACATACATTTTTTTATAAACGTCATTGTCTTTTTAAATATGTCTCTCTTATTGCTGTCACTAACAAACATTTGGTTAAACCTCATAAAAATAATTTGGGGTTAAAATGTAAATGATATGTAAACTGAATTATCCTTTTACTCTATAGACAGTTCCTCATGAAAATTCTATCAACTCCAAAACCAACCCTTCATTTCTTTTGTTAACATTTATTCAGTCATGGTCTGAAACATCAGTGTACATCTGAAGGTAATTGAGGAAAATTGTGTGAATCAATTAAAGCAAAGGCTGATCGTACAAATCCATAGTAGACATACTGATTTCTAAGTAAGTTATGGACAGAAACTGTGCTTTGCATGAAGATAAAACGAATTGTTGAAACATAGAAACGAAAGTGAAGCCAAACTGCTCATGAAAACAAAGGTTTCAGCACTGTTTAAAGACACTGATGTGGATTTTCTTTTTTAACAACAAGCAAGGCCTGGAGAACAATAATGCTCTCCAAAGACAACCCACAGTTTCAGTTTAATCTCTCTATTTTGTGATATTGAAGGTTGCTGAGACAGACTTCTTTGCAGGTGTGCTCTAACAATAGTTGACACATTTTTTTCTTCTCTTTACCTTGTAGACAACAACATGGACTTGTCAAACAGCTGTCAAGATAAATACACCTGCTGCAGCCCGTCCAACTTATTTTGTTTGTTTTTGTTTAAGTAAAATTCTTTGGAAAAATGTGTTTTTTATTACAATAAGGGCAAATAAATCAAAGAAACAACTACTCAGTTCCAGGAAATTATAAATACTATCAGAATCAGAAATACTTAATAAGTTTTATATATATATACTGTGTATATATATATATATATATATATATATATATATATATATATATATATATATATATATATGCATATGTATAACTATGAATCCAAGTAAAATGATAGTGACGTGCAAAAATTATGCATGGGATGAATAAATGTCAATTTCAGAGGGAGGGGTGTCTGAATCACTTGAGGGAGGCGTTGTAGAGATTGATGACCACAGGCAGGAATGATTTCCTGTGGCGCTCTATGGTGCATCTGGGTAAGAGGAGTCTTATGCTGAAGGAGCTCGTCTACTGGACCAGTGTGTCATGGAGAGGATGTGAGTCATTGTCTAAGATTGACTGAAGCCTAGACAGCTAAGTAATAGCTAAGCTAAGTAATAGCACTCTTACCGAAAAAACATGAAAAAAATCCTTCCAAAAAAATATGAGTTTTCTATTTCTTTTTTAAATTCTAGTTTAGTTTAGTTCATTAATTTTCACAGCATACAAGGCTAGAAAAAAAATGTGAAAAGCATATAATCAACATATAGCTCTGATAGCATGGTAGAAACCTGCTT